CATTAAATTCCACCATACTACTTTTCAAAGCTAGAAAACAAAATAAGCAAAAGTGTTGTCTCTAACGTCTCTATAGTACAACCACATTTAATGAAGCAATAAATGCACAAGGCTCTCCGGTTATTAACTACTGGATCATAGGTTTGAAATGTCATCTCCCTCCAACGGATGGATTTCTTCTCACCTATAAATACCCATATTCTTCACATTAGAAGGTGCTGGTTTTTAGAACAATTGAATTCATTCTCTCAAAAGCTCCTTATACAAGTTCACTCTCTCAAGCTTTTGAAATCCAGTTATTCAAGGTGTAAAATTTGAAGAAGACGCATCTAAATTCATTCACACAACCTTGAAGAAGTCTTGCAACTTTGTACACGCTGATTATCCATCTAGCCACCAGCCAGTCAAGACTTCAACATGTTGGAGAAACTCAAAGATTATTCAAATCCAACCCTCAACTCTGAAGAGGAAGTTGATAGAGGCGGAGTAAACTCGAGGAGTTGAAAAACCTTCAAGTAGCTGTCCGGCTTAGTGATCAAGGAAGCCATCTTGGTGTAATTTGTACTAGGAGTGATAGTGCAAACCTTTCACGAGTTGTGAAAGAAGAGTGGAGTAGGCACGATTGGCCGAACCACTATAGAAATCTCTTGTCTTCGTCTCTTTACTTTTCAGCATTTTACTTTCGTGCATTGCATTTCATTAGCCCTAACCGAAAGTTCTCCATATGATCAACAGTGCAAAGAAACTTAAAATATACATTACATATCCGCTGCGTAATAACCCCGAAAGGAGTTATTTTCGTGAAAAACGAATTGAGTCTATTCACCCCCCCCCCCCCCCCCCCTCTAGACTCTCCTTACGACCCTACCGGGACCAACAGGTTATAATAACGGGGTTAAATCAAAGAAAAACAATCACAATGAGGGGATAAGTGCTTAGCACTTATTTAAACAAACACAGGGCATAATGGGGACACAAAGGATAAAAACATATGTAAGGACAGGTTTAAAGGCTATGGCTAAACAAAAATGGCCTAAATCACTTCAAAACATGCAAAACTTAAACTTCACTTAGGGAGTAATGAGGCAAGTTCTAGCAAAACACCCATGACCGGAATCTCACATAAGCCTTCACTAGCAATGCATAACACGCAAGATCAAGAATTAATTTAATTATTAAGTGGTTAACAAAGCTATTGGCAATGGAATAGATCAATTATGCGTTACACCTCAAATCATCAATCACAAATTGAGATGCAGCAAGTACCACTAAAACAAACCACAAACCAACAAGAAAGAGTAATTGTAATTGCATGCTGAGACAAGTAACTTATTCACCAAAAATAGCATATGAGTCATCCAAGCAAAAGCAAAAATTTTTAAAAATTTAAAAATATCCCCAAATTATTTACTCCTCCCCCACACTTAAAAATTTGCATCGTCCCTGATGCAAAATAAAAGAAAAGGAGAACAAGAGAAAAGAAAAAACTAAAAAGCAATAAAATAATCACGAACTAGAAAGCAATAAAACTAAATAGAACGAATCTAGAAAGCAATAAATAAATAGGGAAAGCAATAAAAGATAACATGGGGTGCCTCCCATGAAGTGCTAAGTTTAACGTCGTTAGCTTGACGTTACCTCTCTAGCCATCAAGTGATTGGAGAAGAAAAATCCCCATTTCTCTATCCACTTTGAATTCAAGATATTTCTCCAAGTGATAGCCATTGATAAATTCCTTCAAGCTCAAATCCTTCATGTCATCATGTAATGAATCACATTTGCCCGAATCATGAATTATGCATCTATTCTCTTTTCCTTCTTTTTCAGCATTCTCTTGCTCAACAAATAATGAGAGTCTCGGATCATTCACATGAACCAGCAAGTATTGGGAGTCATTGGATATATAAATAGGCAAATGTGTGCCATCATTCTTAAAAACTCCAATGCCTCCCAAATTCAAAACTTCTCTAAAGTTCTCTCCAAGGGAAGTGTTCTCCATTGGTGAGACATCTTCATTCAAATCATGTACTCCATCAAAAACTTCCTCATCTAACGGGAAACTCTCTATGTGTCCCTTGCCACCATTCACCTCATCCTCTTCATTTTCCTCCCAACTTGGTATCTCCATCTCAATGCATTCATCCATAACCTCATCATCATCATTTTCGAGGTCTTCACCATCCTTCTTATTTCTCTCAACCTCATGACCTTCATTTGGCAAGAGCAACTCTTCTAGAACCTCTCCATTAAATGAATCTTGAAGTGGCTCTTGAATTGTCAAATCTTGCTGTTGAGCCATAGTGTGATCAATTTGAGCTATCATGTGATCAATTTGAGCTTGTCGCTCCATAAATTTTGAGCACAATTGCATTAACTTGGTCTCTATGGACTTCATATCAATTGTTTGGTCAAGTGGTTGGCATTCTTGTTGAAACTCTTGGTAAGGAGACTCTTGAGCTCGCCCTTGATACTTGTAATTGGGATTTACGATGAAGCAATTTTCTGCCTCATGAGGTTCACCACATATCATGCAACATGAGGGCTGTGGAGTAGGTGATGTGCATCTTTGATATGTGACTTGACTCATGTTGGCACAAAATCCTTGAGTAGGTTGTCGAGGAACATGGTTGGTGGGGTTGAGCATGTAACAATTTTCCACAAAGTGATTCCCACCACAAAATGAGCACCATTGCGGTTGTGATATGAATGCTTGAGATGAGATTTCTTGAAAATATCCTTGTCTAGAGTTGGCAAAATTTGAGAAAGGGAATTGTTGTTCCATTCCTCCATATTCCTGATTCGTATTTCCACTCATCTCATAACCCTGAGAAGGAGGGTAGAACAGTGACATGGTTCATTGAAATTCATATCCATCCATAAACTAAAAAAATTGTTAATAAAAATAAAAATAAAAATAAAAAATGGATTAGACTCCTAGAATAAAATTTTCACTATTCTCAATACTTAACGCCACTTCCCTGGCAACAGCGCCAATTTGATGCGTAGTATATTTGCAAACAAATAATACTCGGAGTACGAGTTATCGATCCGCAGGGAAGTGGTTGTATCAAGCACTAGTTACTAATTTATTTATTAGAGCTAATCTTAACAATTGTTTTGATGATTAATTTTCATAAAATAAATTAATAAAATAAAGTAGAGATTCAGGATTTTGAAAACAATTAGAGAGAAGATGAGATTCCTGGGATTCCAGTATTTAATCACCTAGTGCCAAATCTTAAGGACAATATTAAAATCTGGGTTTAACAAGTGTGAGGATGCAAGGTGGTATAGAGCTACTCTCGTAGTCACTAACACTAGTGGATTTCCACTCTCATGGCTTAAACACCCAATAAAACAAGATCAAGCATCATAAATTCCTGACTACTACCATCTCTCGATGCGTAATAATCAAGAACTAAACTCCCTAACAAAATTACCCTTTCTCAAGGTGCAACAGTTAGGTGCAATTGTGTGTGCCCAAAGTTATGCCCAACTCTAGTTGTGACACAAACAAAGCAAACGAAACAAGTAACTATGGCCAGTAATTACAAGCATCAAATAATAAAGTCACAATTGCAACACAAGCTAAGTATTAAACCCAAATAATAATATGTTAAAGAATCTGAGAGCTCAGGCACATAGGTTCATAAACACTTTTATCCAAGAATCTTTAAGGAATTTAGCCAAGCATGGCTAAATTATACATAACAAATATTAATAAAGAAAATACAAATTATCAAAAGAGTACAAGAATGAACCAGACGATTCTCTCGAATCTCCCTAATCTTCTTCTTGCTTCCCAAGACAACTTGTGGCTCTTGATTTCTCCCTGTCTTGTCTCCAAAGATCTCTGAATGTCTCATTAGGGTTGGAGAAGTTGGGATTTTATAGCTGATACAAATCAGGGGCAAGATTGGAATTTCCTTATTTAATTTTGGAATTGTCGTGCTTATGATTAGGAATGTTACTGTAGCTTTGATTTGGAAATTAAAACTACTTTTAAAAATTGGGAATTGTGCCTTCATAATTTGGTAAGCAGCAATATAATTTCTTTTGAATTCAATTTGGAGACGAATAAATCGGCGTCTTTTATTCCTTCGCACAGCGTCATTCGACGCGTCGAGTGAAGTCTCGACGTGTCAAGCTATGCAAGAATTTTCTTCCAGATGCATTCTGGAATTTTTGGACGCGTCGAAAATGTTGTGTACGCACCTTTTGGTCCATTTTGACTCCAAATTTGTCCTAAAACTTCCCTTGCTCATAGAATTGTCCTACAATGATTCAAAAACACTAACAAACACCGTAAAACATTCAAAACAAGTGTGAACCATAACTAAATAATAAAATAAAGAATTATACAATTAAATTACCAAAATTATGAACTTAAGCCTATCAAATGTAATTAAATCAATACTAAAAATATGCATAATTAGGCTCACATCACCTGTGTTTTTTGAAGATGTGTTTATGGGGGGTCTATTGTGTACGACTTCACGTTTGGAAGATGAGAACAGAATTTTTCAAAGTATTACTAATAAGCACTTATGCCTTGTGGAATTCTTCAAACGATTTGAAAGTGCTGTTGGAAAACAACGAAACAACCATCTAGAACTTAGCACGGCTTGCAACGGACAGACACCACCTTTAAAGACTCTACTGCGCATAGAGCGAGAAACAGCATCGGTGTACACATTGACTGTTTTTACGATGTACAAAAAGAAACATGTGAGGGTTTTTTTGCATGTCGCGTGAGTTCTTACAGAGAAGGTGAGGGGGTGAAGACATATGTGGTCGAGGATGGGACCGATGAGTGATACACAGTCATAGTTGAAGAGGGGAGCAATAACACAAGCTGCACATGCCGATTGTACACAAGGATTGAGCTGCTATGTAGACATGTTTTTGTAGTACTAAAAGATGAACGGATCGATCACATACCTCTACAGCATATTACTCCAAGATGGACCTGAGAAGCAGTAAAACATCTGGAAAATGATATGGGCGAAGGGAGACAAGTAGCGGTGAATACCACTGCACATAGCAGCAATGCGGAAGGGAAACTAATAAACTCATTTTACAGATGTTTGGGCATCGCTAGAGGGAGGGCTGAAAAACTGCAACAGATGACACATGTGATTGAAGAATTCGAAGCAACACTGTGCGAGGAAGAAGAAGACGGGGCAGCAGAGAACGCGAAACGTGTAATTATGGAAGCATATTATGGAGTTCTGGCCCCAGAGACGATCAAAGTGCACCCACCTACAGTGGTTAAGACTAAAGGGTCTTGCAAGCGAATGAAATCAGCAAAGGAGGTAGCACTTACGGCTCAAGTTAAAAAGAATCGTACGTGCAAAACATGTGGATTGGCGTCTGGCCATAATAGCCGAAGCTGTCCACAGTAG